TTTTCTCTAAAAAAACGTGGGAAAATAAACTTTCCACGCCCTCTCCCGCCCAGCCGCGGATTGCAAGAAATACCAGACAATTTCCTGGCCGGTTGGGTCAGAAAAACAGATATAATCTGGTTTCGCATGATATCAGAAGCAACAATGCCGGGTTCCCTTTTGAGGACATGTATGGGCTCGAAACTGAAGTTCTCCAATGAACATTGCGGGCCCAAATGACATTTTAGGGCTATTTCTACTGTGCAACGCCATAAAGATAATGTGATTTTCCGAAATGCTGGGCTGATGCAGCTGCGTCCTCAGTTAGCAGAATTAAGGTCACACCCAGGTTACTTTAACGGCATTAAGGATCTCAAACGCATGCCAGATGTGTCAGCCGAGCTTTTATAAGTCGTACTGGCAAAGAAAAGGAAAAGATTAACTTTCAACAGGGACAACCAGAGTTCTCCCAAATTGGGAAATTGACATCCAGTTTTATTGATTTTTTTTCCAGTTAGCACCCATAGGGTCAATGCTAAATTTTCAGAAAGCTGGAGGATCAGTCCCCTGCTCCATATCACCTCCTTCCCTCTTCCTCCAGTTTCCAGGGCCTTGGCCTCTAAAGGCCGGGTGAAAATGTAAATTATGCACATTTACGTTAAAACTTTGTAGGTTTCGTGTAACGGTGACGACTTGAGTATTGTTGGGGGTCTCATAAAAACTGTTAGTTACACGCTTCAAAGTAAAAACTCCAAAGCTGAAATGTCAGAATTTGTGGCATTTCTTTGACATTTCGTGGTTGGTCGGATACAGCGCTAAGATTTGGGATGTGTGGTCCTGGGGGATCTTTCAAAGCATGCCAAACCAGGAACTAAATGACAGCTTCAGTGGAGTACGTTCATTCGACGGAACGTGACGGGATTAACGGTGGGAGATAACCGATCCTTGAGTCTAATTCAAAGCCAAACGTCGGTAACTAACCATCTTTATGCGAGCTTTCGGCAGCGAAAAATGGCATGGTATACACATACGCCTTCTGCGTAGGTAATCGGTTTCTGGTCAACGGTAGTACGGCATCGTGTGCCACCACATCGCTTAACTGACTTCCATCCGTGTTGAAAATCTAGACATCTATGCCAGCAATCCTGTATCTCGTCGACACGCAGCTCGTAAGACATGATCTGCAGTGTAGCGTATCGGCATGGCACGTATCCAAATCGTTCCAAGTGCAGTTCACATCTCAGCGCACTCGACGCTTCCTCCAAAAACAATGAAACTGAACTATGGTCAAGGTCCCACAGCCAAACGCGCACATGAGGAACGCTGATGGGCCTCGGCAATGGTGGACCGGCGAGCTCTAGCCCTCAGCTCGCCCCAAAACAGCAAACTTAATTCAGTAAGACAAACAGTTCCCTTATTCACCCAAATCGTATCATATCATGACGCCGACCATGATAATATTGAAGATAAAAACGCTGAAAGCGGTTAAGCATGCAACGCAGGTAGGGGGTGATGATGGCTGTTCCCGTGTGGTGCGGGCCGAGACAGTATACTGCCTGCCACATTACGGGTGGATTATGGACTGCGTGCAGGCTCGAGGCCACCAGTAGGTCAGATCGGTCAAATAACTTCGTAAAATCATCACCGACTCTCATACTGGGACATGGCCAAGCACAGGGGCGTATTAGAGCAAAATGGGCTGTTAGGAGAGACTGAGCTGAGAAAATGACTCAACCTACCCCTAAAAATCACCAATGAACGGGTTCCTATCCTAATTTAAGCGTCTTTCCTCCCGAAGTTGTGGGGGCTGGATCCCAGGTTGGGGATGGGTGGTAAGCTGCATGGGAGCTCGTGAAATAATGCTTTCAAAAGTCTTTCAAACTAAATTTGTAACGTTCAAAGATTAGACTGGGGCGTATCTTTTTATTATTTTGAGGTTGTGCTCTGCACAGATTAACAGTTACAGCAACACGAAAAATACAGATTTCACTTTAACTCCTCCAGTTTCACTACCAGCGGGTGCCCGTAGTGCAGTGGTTAACGCGTCTGCATTAACCGTTGTGCGCCTGGGAAACCAGAAGTACGGGGTTCGATTCCCCGCGGTGCCCGCCCTTCCTGCCAGGGTGAGAGGCGACGCCATACAGCCTCAACAGCTGAATGCGTCGTTAAGTCCCAAAGACACACACTTCCACCACCAGATTTCAGCAACACTCTGCGGCGCCGCTGCAGGCCAGCTTGCTTTATTATCCATGTTAAGATCACACAGGCGACGTATACATCCGGACTATCTTATGAATAACCGAATTGATATCCCATAGGGCTCAAAGATACTTCTTTCACATGCGTCCTCATTTTCGCCCGTTTATTGGCCATCGCTGAAGGTAATCCGCGGGGTCGTGGCATGACCGTCACCGCGCGGCCCATGAAAACTGCGGCGCTGGGCGTGGAGTGTTTGGCTAAGATTTGCGAGCACGCAAGCGCAAAACTAACTTGCCTAATTTTTCTCACTTTCCCACTCTGACTGAATGTTAACATTTTCAGACAAAATGGGTTGGCTGTGTTACTATAAGTTTGAGCTTTTTTGAGGAGGGGCCCCCACCATTAGCGTGTCCTTTGTCGACCATTCCTCACAAACGCCAGATATGAACGCCTCGATCGTTTTATTTTTCGGCATTAATCACCGCATGGCTGATGGAATGGCAAGATTTGAACGACGTAATTATGATGTCATGGATACCAAGGTGACATTGAAATACTCTCTCAATATACATTTCCCTATTTTCTCGGGCGTGTAGCTCAAACTAGAGGGGCTTAAGTCTTAAGAATGATAGAATTGTTAACAGCATCAAAAGGTCTTCAAAATGTCTTTTTCAGTTCGAAACCCCATGTAAATGGGGAACACTTCCTTTAAGGGCGTTAAATGCTGGCTGCGCCATTATTATTTACATTTGTGCTGCGTGGAGCAAGATGGGCTCTAGGTGCACTCATTTCAAGGGTCACTTATCTTGGATCATGCTGAGGTATGTAAACCCTGTATGCTCTATAATAGCTGTAAACAAGCTGCATAAGGGCCATCAGTAAGCCCTGTAAGTTCCGCATAATTATGAGCACGAACGCTACAAGGATATAGTAGTTTGCTTTGTCGCGGCTGCGTCAGAGATGCCGAGTGTTATAAAAAGTTTGAAAAGTTTCGGTACGAAGAGATCTGGCATCAAGCATGCCTTTAAACGTCTCAGCGGATATTTCGCCATGTGCATTAGCGGACCTCGTCGAAGTGCCCCTCACGCGCCACGGCCGCTGCCACAGCGATGCGTTCATCGCTGAGGACCTCTTGAGCCCGGGCGAGAACGCTCGCGTGGCCCCGAGCCACTACGCGGATGCCGGCCCGGATCGTCTTACGGACTGCGTCCGGCAGGCCGGAGATGAATGCACAGGTGATTGCGCATGTCGGGTTTTCACCGTACAGAGTGGCGAGCCGGCGCAGGTGTGCCCGGGATACGTCCGCCCACTCATCAGGCTGCAGACGGCGGCTCGCATAGACGTCCGCGAGACGGTCCGTGGCGAGCTCGTACAACGCGTCGCGTACGGCGGCCGCAGAGTCCCGCGATGCCTCTGGTATCTGCAGCCAGACGGCGAGGGCTCCGCCGGTGAGTCACCCAGGGAGGACGCCGGTCGGGCCCACTCCGCGACGCTTATACGGCAACGCGGCGCGCGCGCGCGTGAACCACTCTACGACGTGCGATGAGCGGCCGTACTCCGGGATGAGCCGAGCGTCAAACGGCCCGCGCCCATCCCCCGTGACGGCCCCGCCCCCGCTGGCCGACGCCTGTACTCTACGACGTGCGATGAGCGGCCGTACTCCGGGATGAGCCGAGCGTCAGACGGCCCGCACCCATCCCCCGTGACGGCCCCGCTGCCGCTGGCCGACGCCGGTGTCGTTCCGCCACCAGCCGTGACCGATGTCGTCACACCGGCTACAGCCGCTGGAGGCACAACAACGTTCTGCAACACACGGCTGGGCGCCTCACTCCTGCGCGCCTGAGCAGCATCTCATATATGCCCTCTCATAGCTCACACGCAATACGATCAGCGGGTAACTGGCCAACGTCTCCAGCCCCACTCCCACGTGGTCTGCGTGCCTGCATGGTGACGCACCGCCCCGGGTCATAACCCTCTATCTTAGACTGCATGGTGACGTACCGGCCTGGGTTATAACCGATCGTCGCGTGTCCGTCAGTAAGTTGTCTGCCCACTCGGGTCCAGCGACAGGACCGCCGGAGCCGGTACAGCTTGGTCACACGGGGAGCAGTCGAGCAGCGGATGACCTGTAAAATACCGGCATCAAATCATCACGTGTACGCGGGCATAAACGAGCCAGGTGAATCGTCTTCGGTACATAAATACTCGACACCAAACTTGTCCACCAATTAACTACACCATTCTGGAGCTAAAATAAGCTTCTCATAGGTCTTACACATTTGGAAACAATGAGGTTGCCCCAGTTCAGAACCCATGGCAATATTAAACTGTCAAATGACGGGTAGTTTTAAAACAAGATTTAGATTTGAAAAAGTTTGGGAAGTAGTCCCATCACCTCGCAAGGCTGTTATTTCCAAATAAACTTACTCACACAAAGCTGCAGTTGCGCCTGCATCCTGCGGAATATAACAATGCAGACTGAACGCACAACTAACTAAAGGGTGATGAATGACGCAGGTAAATGTTACTCATGGTGGCATGAGTCGAGGGTGCCCTGAGTCCAGCGCCGGCAGCGGCAGGCGAAGGGTAGTGTCTCCACCTTTTCGCTCCTTTTTGCTTCCCTCTGTGCCCACCTGATGATGGCGAACGCCGACAATTCGTGCCCCAACTTGACTGATGCCACCCGACCCGTTCAGCGCCCTCCGAGCGTGCCCCACAAGCCGCAGCTTTGTAGGCTGCCCTGGAGCGACGGCCATGACCGCGGTGACGTCACCCGTCTCAGCGCCCCTCCGAACGTCCCCTCACGCGTCCCGCCGTTGCAGATTGCCGCGGGCTGACGGCCAGGACTGCGATGACGTCATCAACCCGCGCGTCTCTCAGGAGGCGCTGACCCACTCGTTTTCGGCGCCCAGTCACGTGCTGATGATGCAGCGACAGGCCGGGTCACTGGACGCCGTGCTCTACGTGTCGGTGAGCATGCGGCATGCACGGATCGGCGGCGCATTGCGTTCATCTTTTCCTCATGCACACTTTATCCTGCATCTCGCAGCGGCTCGTTGTTCTGGAGCGGGCCGCATGCACCAGCCATGCGAGGACGAGGGGTGCCCCTGGCGGGGACCTGTCCCAACACCCGCACACACGTCGCAGAGTGGTCCCTATGCAAGTGTGCACGCGAAGTCTCTGTGGTGAACTTTCAGTACTTGTCTTGCCTAACCACTGTCCACTCTCCTTCATCCCCTAATCTTGACATGGCCACTAACGGCCGGAAAAGCTACGATCTTAACTAAATCCCAAGGAGTCAGCGGCGCTGCCACCGGGACACTGCCCTTACAAACTGCACAATGCCTTCGCGAGAGCGCTTGTGTACGTTATGCTCATAGAACACTGATCACCGGCAGAAGTGCCTGCCTCATACGCTCCTGCCGATGCGTTGTTTTGTGCTGCCATAAGGTGCTGAACTGAATCGCGACACGCGCGGATAACGGATGCGCGCCTGCCGTTACTGTACGATGACCGACTTATCCTCGCGTCACCGTGCTTACGGTGCGCTCACGGGGTGCGTAAGGGAAGACCCTATGGAAGCTACTCTAAAATACTATGCAATGACTTCGCCGGGCTTAGCCACCTTCGGAAGCTACTACAAAATACTCTGCAATGATTTCCCCCGGCTAGTCAATATTATTTTGAATTGGAAAGAGCTATGGAGCCATGACCAGCCTTGCGGGACTTGTAAAGTCTTGCTAACAACGCTGCACCACGCTCATTGTGTTATCCCTGCGTTTTGGATATAAAGGAGCGCATCGCGTACATCGTCTCAGCTAAATGATGTGGCTGGCTCGCCTAGCAAACACTGAAGGCGTGGATCGCACGTGAGGGAATCGAACCCCGAACCATATGGCGACACAGCCAGTGCGCTGCTTCGTCAGTGGACGAGAGGAAATCAATACTTCGGCCCCTCGCAAGTGTTATAGATGGTCTTCACTGGGCACGTGTCACAATGAAGATGTTCAGCGAAGATGTCCTGCGAATGTCTGCGAAATTTCCTGTCTGGAGCTGGACAATTAATGTGCGTGCTACGCTATCTCCTGCTCAGGATGTGGGGGACCGCATTTCGGAGCTCCGTTGCGAGGATGGATTGGACTCCTCCGACACACACTGAAAAGTGAACACATTAGACTGAGATCATATCATCTTCATCATCATATCTATCACCATCATATCTATCTTCCGATAGCATAGGTAATGGTCCATCACTGGGTAAATGAAGATCCGACATGTATTTGATGTCAGACGCGCATTTTCGGCCTATGTCAGATGAACTGCATCATCTGCCTGCTGGATGGACAATGCCCCCTTTACAACCAGAGTACAGAGATAATGCCACCTGTGTGCTAATGTCCAGATTACAAAACGGCAACATTTGGGGTCAAGGAAATATTGCAGATTCTTTGTTTCGACCATATATATCATAACCACCGCGTAGGCACACCAATTTTCTTGCAGGCGTGCACTTGGTGCTGCAAAATGAAAAAAAACACACTGTGCACCACCTGCATTTTTTCCTGTTTCCACGCATACCATATATAACACATTGCGACCACATACCATATATAACACATAACACACATACGACATATCTTAAAGGTTTCCATTGTACACGTATTATGTCAGACTTCGCAAACAAAAAAATACTACTGGCGTCTCCGTGAGCTTGTTTTTGCGGGCCGGTTCGCTGCATGGGCCCAAATGAAAGTAAAAGCGAACGGTATACCTTTTTCGTATTCAAAGGCAAACTAAAGGCGTAAGCTGTCTACAAGGCCGTATGCACTTATCATGCCGTCTGGAAATCATAGTTACTTGTTTTTTTTCAGCTTTCCGTTGCGATTTGCCTTATCTCTGCGCATCCCTGGGCCTTAAAACGTCACGCGTCGCTTGTGTAGCTCCACAGTAGGCCTCTGCATGCTGGCCTTATTTCACCATTGCGTGGTGCTTTACATTTACCCAATATGGAATGAGGAAACGTGGACGGATGAAAAATATGTGAAACGGCATAAAATCATAGGGTAGCGTATTCAGGGGTTCTCGATCTACCAAATAGCGAGCTAATGAGGTTGGTTGAGGCAACTGACGCATTCATATTGTTTATCTGGTCAATACGGCTCAGTCCGTCCCGGTGGCTCAGTTGGTTAGAGCGCTTGCCTTCCGATCCACTCACCCGTGGCAGGATGGGTTCGAGTCGCTTTAGGACGCTCGCTATTTCCCCTTGACAGGTATGGCCTGCGGCCGGTGGCAGCGGTCGCACTAAAGGTCAGTTGACGTCAGAGGGCAGGACGGACCGTGCCGAGCATTGCGGCACGTTAAGCTTTCGCCACTAAATTCTGCTGTTACCTGGAATTGCGCGATCGGATGGTGGGGGTCAGGGCTCACACAACAAGCATAGCTTAGCGTGAGTGCGGATCCCAGAAGTCCATCCATTCAAAGGGTTCGGATCAAATTTATAAAAAATAAAAAGTCTTGAAACACCACTGTATGTATCCTGTTAAGAAAAATCAAGTGGCGTTTATGCTATCAAAATTGGACAAATAGTCTTGTCGTCTCGGAGGAGAAGGAGGGTGGCAGAATTTGGCCTTCCGCATATGTTAGCATATGCATATAAATGATACATCCCATAAGGAAAAGGGTGAGCTGGATGCCAGAAAATGAAGGGCTTAACTGCACAACTGTAAACTGCAAAACTGATTTACAGGTACGCATTGCATCATTCAGCTGCATTCGACTCGAATTTATCATTGCTGTAGTGTGCCTGTGTCGTGTGTGAGCTGCACGTACTTCCCGTAATGGCCACCCGGGGGGTCGTTCTCCAGTCGCCACAGCCAGTCATTTACCACAGTAACTGTATTTCAAGGAAGACCTCCGCCCTCGGAAGCTATGAAATACATATGTTGCAATGGATGGGGGACACTGGTATCACTCTCCGTGGCAGAAAGTGTACCAGGGTAATCCAGAGTATGCTCCAGGCCCAACGTTGTGCTTAAATCGTTTTCGTTTTCACTAAATTTCAGACCGAAAGCTGGGCACGGCTTTAACAGCGTTGTTTTGCTTAAAAGCTGACAGAAACCAGCAGCCATCAGTTTACATCAAGTCCCACGAACTCTCCACCCGCGTGGAAATGCCGTCGAGTTGGCTCCGGCGGGCGGAGGTCTTGTCACAAAGCATAGCTCGCATGGAATCCAGTTAATTGGAATGCTTTGCAGATTTTTATGGAAATGCAGCTACTGTAAGCGCTCACATCATCTGACAATTGCGATCTAGTCGTACATCTACAAAACAAATACGTTGGCCGCAGGTGGATACAACCAAAGTAGATTTATGTTGATGAAGATACGTTTCTTGGCATTGGTAGGAAGGAACCTGCTGCAAGAATTCCGTGAAACGTTCATTAAAATGGAAAACCTTGAGGTATTGGGAAGGCATCTGAGAAACATGTTTTTGTGGATCAAACCATAACCGTCTGATATACTTGCGCACGTGCACACGTCAATGGTTACACTTCGACCTGAAAGCTGGCATACTGGAAGGACCTGGCCAACCAAAATTCTGTTGAGTTTCAGTATCCCCAGAGCGAGTAGGGGATGCTCATGAAACTTTTTGAATTTCATCGAACACCAAACCATAGGCATGTCAGCATTTAACGATGTATTCCGCCGTAGTGTGGGCGACCCAAATGTTGACAATGCGAGTGACGCAAGTTGCTATTCACCTCCCAAGTCGCCCACAATAAGGTCAGAAATTAAAGGAATTATTACGATGTGAAGAGAAAGTCCTTAGCAACATTGCAGCCTGGTATGGATCAGGCAAGTACGGTGCAGTGTTTCATACCGCTGCCAATGTTTTGGTGGAGAGAACCCCTAGTAACTAAACCGCACGTAAATTCGGAAGGCCAAATCTTCAAAGCAACCTCTGAGAAGTTGAATGCTTGTGGAAAATCAGCCACATTTGCATTATAGGCACGCGGGCAATATTGTGTTTCAACGTTGTGCAATTTATTGCTTGGTAAAATTAAGCAAAATTTTGCCATCCGCAACCGCATTCGTATCCTCAGCGACGTAGTGACTGGGCTGGTGCGGTAAATGTATCATAGATCACGCACTGTTGGTTTTCCTCGAGTGTGGAACTCAAGCAAGAGCCTGCTTTGGCCAATGAAGTATCCGGCTCCGGCTCCAGCTGACGGCATCCATTCCAGCGGTGATCCCAGGTGGCATAACCCTGCACGCCAGGCAGTCGGCCGGCAGGATGTTTGGCACGTTGAGGACGATCGAACCTGTTATCGATGGGACCTTTGGGATCAAGCCCAAAAATATCCATCGATTCCGCCAACTATCTGATGACAATTAATTCCGCCTTCTAGTCTGCTTTTCTACACAATGTCTTCAATGTTCTCCTTTTCTGTAAAAAAATGTCCAGCGCGCCGTCTGTGGGGTCAAACATGCTTAGTGGTCCAACGCAGCTCGTAGACCACTGCTCGGGAGACGAGCTGGCGCAGTGACTTGGCTTTCCTGCAGACTGCAAAGGAGATGTAAGTTCATACATTTGCTTCCAGTCACAGATGAATGGATTGGGAAAGAGCATCCCTCGTCAACATCAGTAGACTCAAGCTGACGAAAGCACTCTTAGCTCGCAAGAAGCAGACAAGAGCACTCTTAGCGCCTTTCACTACAACTAACCAGCCAGTGAAGAGCCTCATGAACTTCGGCTGAGTTTGGATGTGAAAGGCAGAAGTTAATGAGACTTTGGAAAAAGGTCTTGGCCATCTAGACCATCTTATGCCCAGTTTCACAAGATGATTGATGCTGATGCTGGTAATGGACACTGATGTTTAAAACGTGGCGTGTAGCTCAAAGCAGTTAGGGCTCGACCGGCAGTGCACAAGATGACCGTTCTAATATAATGTGACCTTGTTGTAACAGCTTGTATCATATAATCACTGTCAGCGAAGTTCACAAACAAGGCCGCTGTACTGACCTAGGTGACCTATCTATAGCAGTCTGTATCATTTGACTTATTTTGGAGATCGCAAGCAAAGGGAATCATCATGATAATTATTAAGCCGTGGAGCCAATATGTAGGTGATTCAGGCGTAATCTTTCGTGAACTTTACCAACGAGAATGGGGCATTCGCGCAATCTGAATAAAGCGCATCCGAGACAAATCCAGGGATGGCCTGCATCGATGCGATCTCTGCTGGAGACGCGCAAACGAAAGAGACCAAGAGAAGTGCCTTTTTTCACGCAGAAGAGACTGCTCATGGGCCATGAAACCACTTTGACCACTTCATTTCCGGTTGAGATGGACTTTGTGAAAGAGCAAGCCGTCAAATGCAAATCCTCATGGCATATATAAGACGCACAGATGCGCTAAAGACGGACGAAACCATGATCGGTAACCCATCATGGGTTTAAGGCGTCTTGAGTCCGCCGGACATAAAGGACCCGTCTACCACCACGGCTTTCGCTGGTAAGGCAGCACACTGTGTAAGCTGACCCGCGAGCTCGGATGCCATCGATCCAAGAGATCGCAACTCCAGCGTGTCCGGAGCGCAGTCTTGGCCGCTGTCAGATATTGAGCGCGAGATACAGCAGCTGCCGCTGCAATCGACCACTTCAACTGGGCTTCAGACGCTCAAAGTTGTCTGAACGCCGGTGGTAGCGGAACTCAGAGCTTTGACATGACTACAATCGATTTCGGGAGAGACTACAGTGGACATGCGGCTGAAATAAAGCGTGTTTCAATCAGTCCACTGCTCATTGACGGCAGTAAGGCTCAATCAGGTGTTGCAGAACACCATACGAGAAGTTTTGATAAAGGAGGACAGGACATTCTTCTGGTTGTCGATCATGCTTAAAATATGTCGACCGTTTTTATCAAGACCGCAAGCCACAGCGGGTGCTAGCAAGAAAACTGAAATGCCATATTGCGCAGATGTCAGGTCGACAGGCGACAAACCACGGCATGGGCATACGTTTTAAAAGGGGACTGGAAAGCGGAGGTCTGATTTGTGCGCACTGCACGCAAGCGAACGGCATCTGCATCGAGCTTTGCATTGCTGCAAGGTAGCACATCTGGTCTCCGCTGCATGGTAGCACATCTGGTCCATTCAGTGGCACGGGACTGATTCGGCAACATAGCAGGTTTAGAACACGCCTGTGAAAAGCCGGAACGAATTATTTATTGTGAGGCGTTATTAAGCCGCGTACCAGCATGAAACCCTGCTAGATAACCTTTTGGACGGCCGTGCAGACCGTTGTGGTTTCAGACACGTCCCTAAATAAGGACAGTGGGACTCTCAATGCTTTAAGGTGTTTGCAGCGAGTTGGTATGTCTAGGACCAAAGATCTGCACCAAGTTGGCTAGTTGCCGGTATTTTGGTACGATGAGCACCGATAAATCGCACATAGGTGGCAGGCGGCCCTTGCTGTTATGCGCTACTGCGTCTTGCGTTGGGTATCGATTTGGAAGCGTTCCGTCCCAAAAATGTTGGTTTTTAGTCATTGACGCAGAATAGATCCAATGTGATCTGAGAAAAAAAACACTTCTGACGCTCCCAATTCTCTGCTCTTCACTGCAAAGATACTCTTCCCAAAGTAAGGTTCTGTGGACAGAGCGAGTTCTTACCAACCTCTGTAGGGTTTGAGACCACTTGACCGGTTCACTCCGCATGCACGTGGTTGGAAACCTGGCACGATACGTATCTTAACAATGGATTTGAACTCCATTCCATTCAAGGACGAATGGTGTTTGCGGAACACGCCTTTTAAAACTGTCTTGCCTAAATTTTGCGTTTTTCTTCGTCTGTGCGCAATACTGAGCAGGCTTGTACACATTACTGGCCGAAGGTGCAACACGGACTAAGGAGACTGGCAGAACATTTGGCTGACTGAGTTTGGCAAACAACTTCGTCATTTGTCGGATGCAACGAGGGTGATGGTATTACTGCCTTTGGACTATCCCGTGAGCATTGTTTGGTGCTATGCTAGGGATATGCATGACTATCCCGTGAGCATTGTTTCGTGCGCTATCATTGAGAACAGTGCATCGCTAGCAGAACAAGCACAGGCGTGGCCCAGCCCGTCAGACCTGTGCGTTTCAACCGGGCGCTGAGTCAAGAAGGTGCCAACTTTACCCAGCGCTCGTCACGCTGGTTATGTCTCGCTCCAAAACAGCGCCATGCCAGTATATCACGGCCCCGACGAAGACCACATGAGCCATCGTTAGTAGGCTAGCTGTTCGTGAGCCATCGACTAACTCGCCTGTTTGACACGGGGCTGTGTGGCAGTCGGCCGCCCGTCAGGACCAATCCGGCCGGACGTGGGCCAGCGCCCACTCCGGCTGATTGCACGCGCTGAGGGCCCGGCCAGGTCAAGCTCGGCACGCCAGGCCGGTGTGTCAGCCCAGCCGGCGCGGTGCCAGCGCGGCAGACCCGTCCCTACTCCGGCTGTCACCTCACAGTCAGCACGATCAGCAGGTCCAACGGCTGAGCTGCCCCGCGGCGGCCGTTAGGTCATGGCTTGTAGCTATCGTGCTCTGTCAGTGTGGACAGTCATCATATCATTAATCGGAGTTGTTACAAAGCCTGTCAGGACCATCGTCAGGTCAGTGATCGGAATTATCACACTGCCGACCAGGATTATTATCCGTTATTTATTATGATTAATTGCTTCGAGTTATCGCACTCCTGGCTGAGCCCATCAGAGAGTCGGTCATTTCCGTTGTGAAGCTCTTGGTCGAGATGGTGTCATGGCCAGGAATCTTGGTTATTAAGCTCCTGACTGGGGTCCTAATTCAGACCGCTGAACATTTCATGGGACATGGCGACAATTACATTAGCTTTTAATTGATACCTTATCTGTCACTAGTTAATTAAGGCCTTCATAATGCAAGCAGCGAACCCTTCGGTCCTTCGCACCTTATATTCTTACTCAGTAAAAGCAGTTGAATCCAAGGATAAGAATGCATTTATTCTGTATGCGTCTGCACAAGATAGGAGGGCAGGAGGGAGGCAAGCACCACAACGCCCCCCACCCCACCCCCACCATCCCGTTCTGCTCATCACTACGCCCCCCCCCCCCCCTACACACACATAGCTGGCCTTGCGCGCTCCAATCGCTCCGTGTCTCGTGGCCACCAGTTCGGCGTTAGCTAGCGTGCCGCGCTCTCCCCCTCCCCCGCTCTGCTAGCCGCGCGCTCTGATCGCTCCCGTGTCTGACGGTCATCAGTTCGGCGTCACCCACCGGCCGCGCCCCCGTCCGCAGATCGTGGTGGTGTTCTACGTGGCCATCATTCTGGTGCTGATCGGCGCCAACCTGTACCGGCGCCGACACTCCGGCTGCACCGACCGCCGGCCGCTGCTCATCTACGATGAGAAGTCGGCCGCCGTCGACCAGCATCTGCTTACCTGCGAACAGGAGCCCGGCGGCGAGTGCGTCTGAGCGCAGACGGCGCTGCTCCTACAGCCGGCCAGGGGACCGGCGGCTCCACTCCGGCCGTTCTGAGGAGCATCACTAACCTTTCCGCAGGGGTCTGCCGAGGACGGTCGAATCCGACCCGGAGGGTGGTCCTGAGAGGCTGGGGGCCTGCACTCGCTAACAGGGCGTTGTGGGAGGTCAGGGAGGTCACAACCAAAGTCGCTGCGTGGCCCTGAAGAGGCTTATTCAAACAAACGCTACTGCGCTGCTTACAGAAAGGGGAGAATCTCTGTTTTGCGCACAAAAATCCTTGAGGGGGTTGCCGGTACTCCTATAACGTGGATCTGCGGAGGACTAAAGCTTCTCAATCGAAGACGATCTGAGGTAGACTGGCAGTCATAAGTGGTCAGCTGTTTGCTGGAAATACACTCGTGCTCTTCTACAGGATGATACGGGAGTGTTCGTTGTCTGTTAATCGTTTGCACACCACGCCTGATGCTAGTGCGTACCTCCGGCACATGCTGCGAGTTGGCTTTTGGACGACCTCTCACTGGTAGACAGTGGCATCATGTAATGGATCACCTGGAGCCATGATGGCCGCCGATGACATAAGTCTCCGTCTAGTTCTCCCTCCGATCAGACTCTGAACTGGATTCTTTGTTGTCGGTTAAAATGCCGATAGAGTATCGAAGATGCAGTAGGAAGCAGTATGTTAGTGCAGTGGCGACAGGGACGGCTCCAGCGTCGGATTTTGGGAGTGGTTATACTTATGTGGAGAGGTCAAGTCGCACTTCGATGTCAATCGCGACAATGACACAGCTGTAGTTGTTCTCCAACATATTACAGGAAGCCCTTCAGAAAGCATGCATGGTTCGATTTATGCAAGCGTACACAGCGTCTCTTAAGTGACTGATTCGCTGCAGAGTGCTTGATTGGATGAACTTTTCCGTTCGTAGTTGTGAGCTGGCCGCGGTTTTCAAGATCGCTGTTGTGCCGCAGAGTGCTTCCGACCGGTCGGCCATACACCCGTGATCAAAGTGTTATGCGCACGCCCGTTTGCGATCAATTGGAAACGCTTCCTTGCATCATTCACCGTATGCTTCCGACACATATCGACGGCATCGTTCTGACGCGGTTAGGCATGTTGTCTGGCCTCCCGGCAGGTGCCGCCAGCACACATATCTGGTTCGGGTAGCGTTGGAAAGCTTCGTGATGGATGTGTCACATTTGTGGGCGTGGTGTGTGTGTGCAGGCGAGCTGCATGTGGTGAAATATATCTTAAATTGCTTGTCGCTGAGGCCAAACCAGCTATTTGGTGAGTGCAAACTTGTGCTTGACTCCAGTAGAACTGAACCTCATTGCGGAACGGATTCTGTTGTGAACATAAACAGATAGGGATTCGGGTACATTGTTCAGAATTGAATTGGAAATTTATCGATCAGAACTGAACTGGAAATTGATTCACATAGTGTGCGAAAGCATCATAAGTCTATTTTGCCTTAATCATCCTTGGCTGACTCACAAAAGAATTCACCCCAAACGCATGGGGCGCTTACACGATTGACTGCGTGCTGCGCAAGGCGGAAACCAGCCAGTACGTGATAACATTGAATGCAACAGGATAGTTGGGAAGTATTTGCGGAGGTGGTGGGATGCAGAAGGTGGCGTTTGGATAGCTGTGTTAGGCACCCAATAATATCGCAGTTTGACAGGCAGACTGACTTCTCTTATGATAGTGCGCTTGTTGATGGCCTCAAGTTATCTTACATGTTTCTTTCATTCATGTATGAAAACATTCCTTGTTAGACAACACATGCATGCTAATTTCGCTTCTGTTCTCTCGTACAGCCCTAAGGTGATAGCTTAGCATTCTGCGATAAATTGCAACCACCTGAGACGCTATGATACCCGTTGGAATACAGTTACACCTTAAAAACACACGCTCTCTTGTGCACATGTACACGTGCGGGTACACGCAGAGGTGAGAAAAGTGCGTGTTTTGTCACTGACGAAATTTGGAACCGCCTACATTGTCATCTGGAGCCGAATCCTTCAGAAGCCGTTGCAATATCACTCTGAATGCAATAAACCGCAAAACCAAGACAAATTCACTGCAATGCGGCATGACCAACAGCCATTTTTGTTTCAGAAATGAATTTGCACTCAAGTATCATATGCTGGCCATCAAGCACTGAATGTTAGTTGGGGGTTAAATAATAAACTTATCAGATAAAGGCATGCTTAACGTAACCAACTTGGAAGCTTGTAGTGTCCTATTCAGATAAGGGGAGGGGCTTTTGTCTCCTAACCACGGATGTACGTTCCTATTTTCATTTATCATTTTTAAGCACTATTCCTCATTAATCACAAATTTAGGGCTAGGCCCCCCTCAAGTAATTCGAGAAACTGCAACCCTGCTCCCAACTGTGAAAAGACAGTGGGTCGAATCTGTGGAGAAAAACCTATTTTGAGTGCATTTTGGAGACAGACTCAGTCATTTTGCCTTGACCCCTTCCCCACTATCCATCCCCCATCCCTACCCATTTTGCAAAGCTGCATCCCTGTAGATCTATACTTACCCGCAACATGGTTTTACGAACACCTGACAACAACGTCACCTTTGGTTTTGTGACATCATCATGCAATCAGCTGAGCGCGCAGGCAACCTTCCCTATCTTCGCAGAATTATTTCCGGTGCAGAACTCACACTTTCTAACATGATCCCGATCTTTTAGAGCAAAACGCATGCGATTTTGGTAGCAACAGGTACAAATGACATTTTTGAACACCTCTTACAACCTTCATTCAGCGCCATATGCAATAGGATAAAAAGCATTTCATCTCACGCCCGTCCACCGATCAATAGGATAAGCCGGAGGTGAAACGAGCAATATGAGAGGCCTACAACAGAGGTGCTCAGTCTCTTACCTCAAAGCCGCCGATACTCTAAGCAGCAGAAAGCCTCGGATGAATCTTTGACATGTGTCGCTCCAACGTCCTCCGTTTACCTATGCAGCTTCATCTCAGGTATCCACAAACAATCATCTTCCAAGATCGGCAGGGCTTTTTAATGCTATTACATTACAAAAATCTGACGATTGGCTACGTTCTTCTAGCCAATCAGCATCTCACGACATGAACACAACTAACAGCAGCCTAAATCCTTGCACTGAATCCAACGCATCACCGCCTGGCGAGCGTTCGAGCCCATCGGTCTCAAATGACACTTAAAACGCTGCGTAGCAAACTGGTCAAGTTCGTGGCAAGATGATGCAGCCAGCATGGATCCTTACAACTAGAAATCAGCCTACATATTTGTTATTTCATGCTGTTTAGTATGCAAAATGAATCTTGGCCGAAAAAGTCTGTGAAAAGCATTGATCTGGGGGGCATTGGAAAAACACTGTGCCACCGCTGATCTGTGACGTCAACACTGATATAGCAGGTTGTAGTATATTTTGGCACCTGCAAAAAACTATCCTGATTAAAGCTACTTTGCTTGACAGTGTCTTATGGCTCAATTTCCTCATACAGCGAAGCATCAGCGTTTCGGCATGTGTTCTACATTTGCTCACGCTGCAGGTGTAGGCGAGCTCAGACCAATACTAAGCTTTGAAATTCATTTGGCTGGGATAGTAAGTTGTAAAAAGGTCTGGTCTATTGAAATGTGTTCGTATTTTTGCATTTTTGTCTCCAGCTGGCCCGCAAAAGTGTCAGTTTTTGTCGCCGATCATATCCGGCAAATCGGAAACTGTTTTCACTCCTGCGTACATGTGCTATATAACACATCCTTGTATAATTATTTACTCACTGCTCTAGTTTCAACAAAGGCCTGTCATTACGACCTGACAGCTCTTATGTTGGGTACCTTCAATTTACCAGAAGGTACTGTGTAAAGGGCAGTGTAATGATTAATAGCGATCATCAATAACTATCATCAACGATCATCAATAACGTGATTGACCATACTGATTATATAACTGTTAGTTAGCATCACAACGTCGTTTAACTAGTACCTTCTTGTATACTGAAGGCCTTTATTTCAGCATATGAAATTTCAACTCATAACGCCGAAAACCCAGGAGCCGAAAGCCTTTCAAATGTCGTGTACAAGACCAGACCCGGATACGGAATCAGATTCGTCATCAGGTTCATCAGTTCAATCTATGCCGTTGTCATGCTGAATTTGTTTCCAATAGCCGCTTTGGATAAGATTCGGATTCAACTCATTAAGCTCTTATTCCGACCCAGAATCGATCCTAGTGAAGCGAAATAAAGAACAGGTCTGCTAGCATGAATTTTTGCGAGAACGCCTGTTGTCTACAAAACATCCATGCTGAATTTAAATGTTTTACTGATAATTTACTTATTTTGGTCTTCGCAGATGTGATGTGCTGTTGCAGGTGGCTTGTGTCGTTCATATCGGCAGAGGTCACGGTTGAGGAATGTGCGAATACAGAAATGATCAAACGAGACGATTTTTGACGCATCTATGATTATCTGAAAAACTGCAGTCGACTTGGAAAACCTTGCAACCGGCATGAAGAAGGATTTTTGCTATGCGATACAACAGTAGGGAAAATGTTAAATTGTCCAGAAAGCTGAAACGAAAAAAAAACTTAAGTATTATCTCCGCGACACACCTGTCCATAAAATGGCCACGATTTTCATGATTTCGCACTTCTAAGCACCGACATGCTTGTTCTATAGGATTACACAGAGCCGGCTCCACGCTAAACTGACAATCCTAAATTTCGTAAGTTTCCGGACTAAAAAAATAAATGAAAATGTGTTGAAAAAAGCGATAAATCGTCCTCAGACAAACGAAATTCTAAAAGAACGCGTGTCTGAAAAGACAGCACTAGAAAAAGCATCATGATAAAAGCAAAAGTTTGCAAATGATGATATGAAAAACCATATTCGGCTCAAATATTCGGACATAACTTCGTTGTTTTCATAAGCTGTGCGTGGGCCATTGCTATACCCCTTTGGTTTTATTGCAACAAGACCCTGTGCATATTCACTCACGTACTTCACAACCCTGAAGACTGTTGTATGTTAGGAGAGCTGTGGTTGCGTCCAGCCAGTCAGCACGTTTGGTGGCTCAGCGAGCAGCAAAGGGTTGTTTTGGACGTTGGAGTAGAGCACGGAGAAGCTCAACTCCAAGATGATAAACTTCAGTAAAGTGTCTGTAATAATCTCCTGCATGCCTGTCAGCTGTAGGGAGAATGGCACACTCATTGCTGGGCCTCAAACCTCAGCTTTTCCCACGGACCACTTTTTCCCAAATTTTCAGGGTTTCACAACTAAAGGTAATGTTAGAAAAGTGCGTAGCCCGTCAGGAAAGCTGTCTAGAACGGTGTGATAAATCTACACAGCCGACACCGACGGTCGGTGAGGTTATCGCGCAGGGGCGAAGTTCTATTATGTTGGTTGCGGGGGTGGGGGCGAAACAATGAGTTTACCTACCTTTAGTTTAGACCAAAAAACTAGCTTCTCCCCACATGAGAACATTTTGGACCATTTTCTGTTTTCAAGTTGAGGGCTGGAGCCCAAGTGCGAGGAGGGTGCGGGACCCTCCAGCTGAATGCGGAACTACACCACTGGTATCAATAAAACTATGGGATGTTTGATGACCACGGATGGTCCGGATCATCACCATCATTCATGATTGGATGATCGCGGACGATACGAATGATCGGTCACGGCTCTGATCTCGGATGACGACCTCACGGGTGACTTGCCGGATTATGGCATATCTGTCGAATTCGTCGACACACATCCAGTCCACTGAATATCACGATATTGTCGAATGACAACAGCGCTGGTGCGCGGTCCGATCCGACTCACGCATCACGCGTCGACAATACTGCCACTCTGGTCCCGACGCAGCAGGCTTGGATGCACCCAGCAGGATCGTTGGGCGTGCAGCTCACGCTGTCGCCGCCGCCGGGGGCAACAGTCGCAAGAGATGGGGACGATCGGGATCCATGAAAAGTCATTAACCGCAAATTACTGTGGACCGAACAACGCATGAAACCTTTCGTTAAATTTGCGTCGGATTTCCCTGCAGGGTCATTCCGCGACAAATCGAGCGGAGCGTAACACGACACCCCTTCAAATTTGGCGAACACGCGCCTTAAAGGATCTTATGCTGCCGATTTACAAGTTTTAGAGCCGTGCAGCGCAATGATAAGGAGCTAGAAGCAGACGAAAATGCGCGATGATGTCACGAGACCTTTTTTCAACTTACTTTAGCATCGGCAGTTTGCAAAGTAAAATGTTCCGGAAAAGTGCGTCGAAAAGCATACATTTATTAAACATCGGTCAATATAATATTTAAGGTCAACTAAAACAGCCTATGCATTATATATAGGTCAACGACTACAACCTATGCATTTGTTAAACATCGGTCAACATGAAATTCAAGATCAACTAAATGCATAAAATGGCCTGGAGTGGTGTTTGGTCTCATTTTATTCAACATCTAGTGCTTTGGATTTCCTTTAAACTAACATGTAACAGGAAACCAATTCA